GGCCGGTCGGCCGGACAACGTGGATCTCTTGATTCAGCACAGACCGGGTAAACAGAAATTTATTAATCCATTTACACACGATGATGCTTTAAACAGTCCTACCACAGCTTTTAAGATGATATTTTAGTAGTCGATGCAAGTGCTTCTAAAATTACGCGTAGCAAGACTCGATGCTTTTCCGAATTAGTTTGTTTATCTGGTAGACTGTGAACTCGATTGAAAAAATAGAACTAAGAAGAGAAGAGTAGAACAGGGATTCGTTTCATCCGTTAAAGGTCAAAATGATCACTTTACTGTATAGCATTATACTTTAGATGTTATATATATTTATGTATTTCTAAATTTCCTGCAGATGCATGAACATCCGCAGTATACTTACGAGAAAGCTCGTAAGCTTGCCACTCGTTAATATCGAGTTCTTCGAAACGTTTCTCCAAGAGATATCGATAGAATAGAAAACGAAGTCACAAGTAACAGGATTTGGCTCAGTTTCAATCACCTAACTCGCTATCGTGGAAAATTCAGGGTGGAAAAATACCACGCTATATGGATAGATGATATTTCAAATATATTTAGCTATGTATGAAAGTATTTACGAAATATCGGAGCAAGTATATTTATATTTGCTCAAGCTTGAACATCACCTTGATCCAAAGAACCAAAATACATCCAAGACCAGTCAACGCTTGATCCTATCTATTTACTTGTGATCAAAGATAATTCTATGCTCTGTAGAAATAGCAATTTATCATGTTAGATCAACAGACCGATTGTATTAAAAAATCCACGTACATGACAAACCAGGCGATGCTTCCGGGAGAGAATTCGCGTTTTCGACGAAAGGTCACGTAATTCTTCGTGGTAAGCCGAACAAAATAGCTTGAGCCGATTGTTCCCAAGGCTTTCCATTCTATCCTTTTTCCACGTCGTTGGTCGATTTCAAATCGATATGAACATTCTCGAAATTGAAACCATACCATATCGAGCAACTTTTACCGTCAACATGCCGGGGAAACCCGCATTCTTAGCGCATGACTGTCTTTTATCGGATACTGAAGCCCGAGGAGTCAAGCCGCTATTATTTTTCCACACAAATCTTTTCGAAATATTTATCACCGACTTCGTAAAATACAACGACAACGAGTGATGTAACCAGTTATTTCCTATCGATTCGATGCTATATACAAAAGAGGTGTATAGAACTGTCGGTATTAAAGACACTTTAGCAACAGGTTAATAAACCATGGGACTGTATAATCGTATTTATTCTGAAATTAAACGCGGTGTTTCGTCCGATGACTCTTTGCGTAGCCCGAAATTTATCCTTCGATCGAGGCTCCCACTTGCTACGTCAACATAATTAGTTGGACCGTAATAATCATAAGGAACTGTCGTAAAATTAAGCAATTCGATTTAACCATTAAGACCATTAAGTGGTATAAAATACCTTCGAGTCAAAATGTTCCTTATGGTTATTGTTCCATCAGGTAAAAAGTAGGGAAACGTGGGTTTCCCATGTTTCCCGAGACTTGCAAGCGACCGGTGGTGGGACGACCAACACCCAGCAACAGTTTTCCTCTGCGACAGCGTCGTTACCGAACTTTACTGGATCTACGACTACAGAACAGTCAACATCTCTGCACTGGGTTCACTACTTTAACTCAGTCAACATATATCTAATTAATATGTATATATACGCAACGAGCGTAATCATCTTGTCTACAATAGTTCTTGGTATAAAGAGTACATTATAACCTGTTACCTCAGCGTTGTAATTAATTCAACTACCTCTAATATCTTAAACGAAATAGGGGATCGATCAGTTTCGTGGCGTCGATTGTAAAATCGTAACAGGAATTTACGACTCCCGTTGACGCGCTTCCTTGAGATTGCGTCTCCCCGCGAATGGTCGACAAAAACACAAAGTCGTGAAACTTTCGCGTAAAAAACAAACAGCCTAACTAGCCGATAAAAAGAGTACTCGCTAAAATAACGGGACGTGATGGAAAACGAAGAAAAAATGTTGTCAAGATATCTATTCTACCAGCGTGACTGAGAAAATTATAAAATAGAAAAATATTTCCATGTTTTACGTAGATTCTATATTAACGCGTATTTCAATTACCTTCTAACGTCGAGCACTATGCCAAATGGAACATCATTTGCGCATCTTATCGAATAACTTTTCGATTGCACCGCCTTGTTTTCCCAACGAACCAGTAATCCTCTACTTCTACCCGTAACTGCTTTCTCATGAACGTCCATGAGGCAAAACAGACTAATCTGATTCGTTCCATCAAATGTCGTTCCGTCATCATGTTCATCATCCTTCGAAGCAATTGTAGCACATGGACTGCTCGTTGAACAATTCGATCGAGCCCAATCGAGCAAGCTGAAGCGATTCAACATCGTCCAACGCTCGACTCACACGTTATTTAATCACCAGAGCTAAGAACTTTAAAACCGTAGCAAGTAATATTTTCGTAGGCCATAGAAATACTGACGGTTTAATCGTTGATAATCCGCAACATCGTCGTGATGCAGACGGTGACACAGAAGATCCAACGAACCATTCGCCTGTATAGGTATCGGGCTTATCAACTCGAACATATCGCAAAATGCACAACGATAAAACATAATGTAAATAACAGCAAACGATTACTTCGATCAAATTTTCCACGAAATGCAGGCGATGTATCTTTTCGTCCAATCGACTGTGAAACGTTTACACGTGTCGAATACCGTGAAATGGAGCAAGAAAAATTAAGATGACCAACTAGTCCAAAATTATATACGTATATGTACTTGGGTCGTTTGTACAGATAAATTAGAATTTCGAGAGAAGACAGAAGAGAAAACGAATTAAACGGTGTTGATCGAATTGGAAAAATAATTCAGGGAATGAGCCGCTTCGAGAATGGTAACAATGAAAGACGGAATAAATATTTATCGTGATCTCTTTCGCGAACGATCGTTGCGCTTTCCAACGCACAGCAGAATGCATCGAGGGTAACTGGCTTCTTCCACGAGCAATTAATTTTCTTATCGTTGCCAGGCAAAGTTTTCTCGATACAATGAGCCGATTAAAAACCGTCTTCGTGAACCGATAGTCTAGCTAAACGATTGTATAGTCAATGTGCGCTCCTTCACCATTGGTCGGAGATATTCCTTTTCTTTCTAGTTCTAACAAGTGTTTTGGTTTTGAAATTGCATATTCAAAGAAAATTCGATATCTCTTGCTATTCTGTTAGTTTTTTATTAAAACTGAACAGTATTGTATACAGTAGGTCAGATAGCTTTCACTTGGCACGATGATGACAGATTAAAAATGTCGTAAAACAATTAGCTTATACTTTCGACAAATTGTGGAAATGCAATTTTATATAACTTCTCCTGATAAAAATATATTGCAGAGTAATATTGAAGATGGGATGACTGACACATATATAATTTCCTAGCGCCATTCGATAAATGTAAAGAGACAAGATGAAGAAAAACTATCAATTTATAAGCAAACACTTCCCGTCGATATATAAATCCTCATTTAATTCTAAAAAAAGAAAAAGAATATTTATATTATAGGTAGCTAGGGAAATCCTAAATATATATAACCGATAAATTGTCAACTTAAATATATCTTTCACAGTTTCCTATGTGATTACTAAGTACAAGAAAGATTTAATTGAAATAGTAGTCAACAACAAAGTAAAAACGAATAGTAGAAAAACAGATTGTAGCAGACATTGATCTAATGTTAAAGTTACATAAATAACCCCTATACGAGTCGATAAACGGTATGTGTTATCTAAATGATCGGTTACATTACTGATCGATTGTATCCGAGTTAAACTTGCGATTGCAATTATTATCTGGACTTTGGTAATTGCCACATACCTAAGCAACATTGGCGTAACGTCGCGTGAAATCAAGAAAGATGCAGCCAACGAGGTAAGCAACAATCGATGAGGTACAACGCAGATACTATAAGAGGTATTGATCCAGCTGCATATTTCCAGATCACCGCAATTCTAGAACGGCACAGACGTAGCTGGCTTGGACAAGAAAAATCCAGAAGTTTATACAATTACGCAACAATTCACCATATTGAGCTGCAACATGTGCACAATCACAAAACAGCCGTGTCGACGTTTGGCGCCGTCGTAATTGTCCAAATAGCTGGTCGCGCGCAGAAAGCATCGTAAAATAATATACATATTCCGAATACATTCGAAGAATTCTAAAATTCCAAACAAATTACTAATCAATCGATATTAAATAAAACGAAGAGTTTATGTATATTATATTTATAGTTTATATATAGACCGGCCGTTTCGAAACGATAAGATCATCAACGGTTCAGAAGATAACAAAGGCAATTAAAACCAGATTACGAACTATTTTAACTGAATTTTTTAGCGATAATAATGATTCATGTCTGATAATGATCAAGAAAACTGGTAAGCACATCAATCTCGGCGTTAATGTTAAACAATCGTTCCTTAAAAGTATAAAAATTTCGAAACATTAATAGAAAATTTTCTGAAATGATAATGAATTTCTTAACGAGTTCAATGTTCTATATGTCCAATACATCTACTTCTCAGTACATTAATCGTAAGAAAATAGTTCAGCAGACGCGAGAACGCAGTATGACGAATGTAAAATGCATCCAACAATAACGTCATCGCGACAATGATTCCGGAACGGCGCGGAAACTCGAAGTTCATTGTAAAAGATGTATTTACGTCACACCCGATCTGTGACTCATTTCCTCTTTCCCAGTAATTGATTCACAGTTCCACCTACAATAATTGACATTCGAATTTTCTATTGCAGGCTCAAACAGATCGATGAATCGACAGGTGCAGAATTTACAACGAAATTTAAAAAAGAAGAGAATATTTTTCCAACAAAATATTTTTCTTTTTATCAAGTTTTATATTTCATTTTCAGTGTATTAATGATATGAAATTCAATGAACTTTAACCTAAACGATTGTTATGTAAATGCTATAATAAATATAATGGTATGCAAATACCTTTTCTAGTCACTATTTATGTACAAGTTCCCGTGAACCTGTGGCTCCTAATATTTCCTATATTTAAAAATAGTTTTAATCTGTTTCGAAGTATCAGATATTGCGTGGTCTCTTATCGAAACAAGTAATCACGATCACGTGACCAAACAGTCTACGTTCAGAGAATCTGATATAACTTTAATCACGCTATCGCTATCACATTGTATTTGACCTCACCATTTATCATCGGTTCAACGATTCCTAACTCAGTGCTCAATAATGCACGCCGTAAATTCAGATCGCACCGTACACGCGAATTGCTTCCTTAAGACTAGTTAAACTATCCTGATACTTGTTTACCAATGTCATACACACCTCTACAATTTAAACGATTAATAATTTTGCATATATATAGGCTATTGCGGCATACATAAAGTGGCTCACGAAAGTATTTAACTTACTGTAGAAAACTTTTATGTACATATTATGTGCATCGTATAAAACATTTTGAAACTTCATAAACACTATATATAATGAGACGCGACTGCCATTATCATATTAGTTAAATTTAAAACTAATCTGAAAATGTATATGAAAATTACAAAGTATTTACTGGGTTTACTAAATATATAATATACGGCATGAATAGCCACCTTAAACATATAATAAGTGCTACAAATGACCTACCTAAATATCGAGGCTTATTAATATAATGGATAATTGATTGCATAAATACCTATGATCTCTGAGAAATATTATATATACTCTATCTACTATTATATATCTTGTAACTTTCATGTACATTATCAAACTTATTTCAAACTCCGCCAATATTAACATGACAATTGTCACTATAATGTTAATAAAATTCGAAAATGTTTCATCTTACATACATAATATATCCATAAAATATGTCGTGAGTCACTATATACATGGTACTGTACTAACGACGGTCCCAACTTTTCATCAATTTCCCGCATATTATAGGTATGTATCGATTTCATTCTATAGACACGGTTTCAAGTATGAAGCATTGTTTCTGACAAATGCAAAAATCGTGTAGGGTGAGTCCTACTAATTGTTAGACGAACAAATAAATCAATGCCAATAATTCACAACCGAGCGAATCGTATCAACTAGTACGGCAAATTTACGATCGGTTATATACGTTTCTAAGTTATCTAAACAGTACTATAATGTTTTTAAAAAGTAAACGATAGTTCTTTTCGGACAAACTCAACTTTGCTTCACCTTGACGCTCTCTGAACTTCAAAACACGCAGAACAAGTTATAGCGCAAAAGTCAACAAAAAGCGATATTTTCAATTTTTTTTCTCTATATGTAATAAAGATGTAATATTATAAACTTACATTTTGTGGTGATACAAAAATACGTCGTATTTCGATATGAATATTTTTTTCCAATTTGCATTACACAATTGAATTATATTAAATATATTTCTAATCGTTAATGACATTGTTTTGGCTTGAACTTCGATATGCCAACTAGAATATTTGTCACACCTTGCCAATAAGTTACACTAACGCATTGTGTCGCCTCTATCGATCATTCCTCATTTTTCAAACACACGTTTTCGTAACACATACAAATCTAACTACAAACAAAAAATAATTACTTTCTTACGTAAGTTGCCGATGAATAAACAATGCATTCAGGAAAGACTGTCGACGAATAGTCACTGATAATACGCATAAGTAACAAATGTTGTTGATAATACGTATCAAAATTTATTGGACGTACATATTGCAAATGCATCAGTATCGATGCGAGAAAAAAAAAGAAGCGAAACGAAATCTGTCCAGCAATAGTTCTATCTACTTACATGTCCAGCAAAATAACAGTTTGCACCGGTCTCATGTTCGTATGCTACGTAAATAATACTACTAACCGACAGAGCTTGATAATTAAGCAAGAAAAAAGAGGAAAGACGTAAACAGAGACCGAAATAGGCACAATATCCACAAGAGAGGGAAACACACTAGATACGTTATGGTACGTGATTATGGTAGACTAGCGACCGCATTATTAAATGTAATACTATAACATCCTTATGTGCAGCTCAATATGGGCACGATTAGTTTCCTTAATAAACCAAAATACTTAGGAATCGAACAAACTACTGTTTCATATACGATCAGAAATTTCATTGACGCGTAAACATTGAGGGAGTGCCAGTAAATAGGTTGGCATTCGTCGAACGCATTAATCGTGAAATTGACGAAAAAAGAAAATATGTGTACGAAAGGCAAAGATCGTGAAAATATATATATAATTACATTTACATCGTTTCAGGAAGATGAAAGAAGTAAATTTTGACACATGTTACTGACGATACTTTACGTACTTGATGTCTCGAAACTTTTCGACGAAACTTAATGGTAATCGTTCACGTAAATCCACACTATTAACAGAACTTGATTTGTCACTTGCACAAATAAGAACGAGATCACCTTAAGACTGTCATGATTTCCGTGACGAATGTCCAGCAACACAGCTTTAAGCGAAGGAGTCCGAATCGACTGTACCAAGGTCTCGTGAAAGGTGCGACACCAAAAACTACCCGAATCACGTAACTGCGACTACATTACTCGGCCAGGTTCGAAGGTCCCTGCACAATTCACGTTACCGACAGTACTTCAAATAACTTTATTTTCAAAGAAATATATAAACACGAACGTTCTAGCAAATCTACACTGTTTAAGCATACACATATCGTCAATAACAGGGACTGTAACTAAATTCATATCGAAGAATCAAGATTTAAACGTCGAATACTTCTCACGGTACAATTTTTGATTTACATTAATTAAGTGAGAGTCAGAATTGGCCGTACAAGGTTTCGTGAGAAGCACGGACGCCAAAAATACACTGCGAGAAGTAGCAACGTAGGTAAGCAACTGAGAGTCAAATGATTCGTACTGTTCTCTGGTCAAGCCGTTAGGTGCACGTGTACCCAGAGAAGCAAACACGCACGCGCGCATTCGAACATACACAGGTGGTTCAGAGGGATCTTGCCTTTACCTCGTCGCCCTTCGACAGAGGACCAAGACCGATCGATCACTTGCTTCGAAGAACGCACCAAGCACGATACGCCAATTCTAACAAAAATTGCCGTTCTGCTCTTTTAACACATTTTGTTTTTAACACTTCACTTCCAGCTTTTCGTTGCACTTCCGAAAATTTTGTAAGAAACTATACAAACAAACTAGGAAGCGATTATTAACCTTGTTATCGGCTCCTCAGCTACCAAACTATTATATTGGGTATAGTTCTCATGGTATGTATGGTACAAGATCCTCTTAAACATGTAAAGCCGAATAATTATAATTCTTTGTCACTAAAACTATTGTAGAATTATATCTTTCGTAGAACTACTCCAACTACCAGTCGACTTACATGAAACACGGTAATTATGAACCGCGGTTAAGGCGATTTCCCGGAACATGGGAGACATGAAATGCTTGATGTTTCACCAGCAAAGACCACGGAGAAACTACTCGAAAGGTTCGAGTTTGACGTATCACAGGAAACGAGGACTTGGATGGTAGGAGAGTTAGGTCGAGGCGGGTAAAGCCCTGCAGCGTGCATTAGGTTTTATGACTGCCAAGGTCAGCTGCTTTCCATAAGAATGGCGCCGTGAACATCTCAACAACTGCAGCTCAATTAGTAGAGGAACAAGCACCAGCTTAATCCAGATATGATTATCATTCTTCCATAAGAAGATTTTGCAAGATAAATATATATATTTATGTTTTGCGATTTTCCAATGTTTACGCAGCTCAACGTTCTTCTGGAAAGATGGAACATTATCTGGCAATAATACAAAAATTGAATTAATATATTCGATTTAGAATCTAAATAGAAGAAAAATTACTTAAGAAATACCACAAGAAATACCACATTTGAACATATGAACTGAATTGTAGTGATAATGGAATTAACGTTTCCTCACGTGCGCCCTATATATATGGAGCTCTCGAATTTGCTCTCAATATAGAAACTCTGTAAATTACAGTTTTATAAATCCAGTTATAAAGCAAATAAATTTCATGCTTCACTTCAATTAAAGTTCCTGAGTTAACCGTTACAACTCTAAATAACAAATTCCTAAACGTTTTTCATAATAGAAAATTTGTATGTATCAACTGTTACTTCTTGTGACAGAAGTAACAGCACATCACGATTGCTTGAAATTAATATTATGGCGGTTATCGACCAGTTTTCGAACGAAATATCTGTCTAGGGGAAAAACATAATCAAATCACGTGTTCGCCCACACGTGCTGCTACGTCTTACGATTAGTAATAATAGATACGCGTAAATTTGTTTCTTATCTTCATCAAAAACAGCGTATATAAGCCTGATTAGCTTTTTATACATTATTTTTATTACTGACATTATTATTTAATAACATCTAATAATTGTATATTGGAGCAGATGATAATGAATCCAATCGATAAAATAGTAAGTTTGTTTATAAAAAATCATTATGCTTGAAGTGACAATATGATGATATATAAGAAAAATAGTTGGATTATGCGTGAGAATGACATAGCTATCTTTTAATGAGTTAATATAGATGAGTTAAATGCATTAAATTCTTCAATTCACTGAACGCTAATACTACAATAATGCATCCTATCCTATACAGTATACGTATACGTAACGGTTTCATACTTATTTCGACGAAAGCAACAAGAAAAGCATGCACGATACAATTCTGAATTTGTATGACTTGCATATTTATCGCTACAAACATGAACAAACATTATTATTAATATTTCGAAACATTAATAAACTTAAGCAACACTGTATCGATACTAATATGTCTGAAAAATATTACATTCCACACTGTTACAACTTTATATAATGACAATGCTATGTTTACATGTAAAGTGAACAATTACTCTAACTACTTTGAAGTGTTGGAGAAGACATAAGTAGGATAGTACATACTGCGAACTCGAAACAAAATTGTGTCGTACGTTACAATATTAGAATAAAGATCATTAATTTTAATGCATTCATCATCGCGACACGATTGTTTACAATCTGGAAACGTATAAGTTCGAGACACACTCGTTTTATCTATTACGACAATACGTAAACGTTGAGAAAAACAGTATCGATATCTGTAGATCAAATATCTGCATACCTTGTTAAAGCACTGGGCAATTCAACCTTGACAGGCAATCTTAACTTGTGCATTTTATTTCTACGTATGCACACACTACTTTACGATTTCAGTTTTATCTTTTTTTCTTTCACTACGAGCAACGTGCTACAGAAGCGTGCGATTTACGGCAAACGATTGTAAGAAAAAACATAACCAACAAACGTGGATCTCGACTTTCCTCGGATTGGACAATGCGTTCACGCGTGAGTGCAACAGAAAGGCAAAAAAACACATGTATCAAATAACACGTAAACTAACCAACAATACTTGAAAGGGGAAGAATTCAAGTGAATAACTTTTACATGGACACTTGGATGGCTAACGACTCCTTTCTGGTTCACAATCTTTCAGGGATGGTTGAAGACTAGATCTACGACGCAAACTCATATCGCGATCACTTTATCATTTCAATTTAGATGACCGGCTGTACGATGTTCGTTCATTACACTCACTGCCCACACTCAACGTTTTTATGGGATCCACTGTGTACCATGCAGTTCCAGAAAATTGACACTTAAACAAAAAAAAAATTGAAGATGGCGTCAACCAAAGGGCTGTGAAAATGTAAAACGAGAAGAACTGGTCGAGAAAGCCAAAGCGTTCTGAATCATTGTTGCATTTTCCTTCTGGTACAAGCCATCACATTCTTTAAAGCGACACGCGCATAGCGGCGATTCCTGTAGTCGATTGGAGTTTACTACCAACAGTTGTTAATCGTTGATTTTATCGACTTGCGTTTTAGCGGTATATTCAAATGTATTTTGAAAATTTTCTTATTCGTGTATTCATTTTCTATGTCATCGCAAAATTAATTGTCAAGTAATTGTTTTAAAGCTATAATATCTATATTTAAAAAACATAATAACAAATATTTTTGTATAAAAGTCTATAAAAATATAAAATATATATGTATCTTAAATTTACGCTATTCGTATCGTTACGCTTACGTATCTTTTAATAAATGAACAAAAATTGAATCTTTTTTTTAAAAGATATTAATTAGAAAATACTTACAATTAAATGATTTCCAATCTAATTTAACCTTACAATTATTATACTTAGAAATTAATGATAGTTGATATCCGTTTCTAACAAAATTAACGTTAATATTGTCATATAATAATTGATCGTACCTTTTGTCATTCATTAGACTTAACTTTAAATGTTTGAACACAAATCTCTTATCATGATGGATATAATATAACGCAATACAATTATCTAACACGATAAGAAGACATTGATGTTTAAACATTATATAGTTAAATAAGCTTAACATTAGTGACAAGCACTAAAAGCATAAGCAGCTTGTTCGGAAATCCGCGTTCACTTACTTACCTAAGCAAAGCTTTCCTCCAGCAGTAATCCGTTTCGATTACAAGCAGCTGCAATTTCATCATATACGTCGACGTTGCTCAAGACATATAATATCGGCGAACACGTCGATTGATGCTCGTTTTCGAACACCAAATTTAAAATATTTTTTCAACTTTCTGTTCACAAATTGTATGCGTATGTTTCTGTTCAGGGCGCGACTCGTGGACGACCTAATTCACGGCTTATCGATCAATCAAAAACAAAGTGCTCGTACACGTAGAGATAGACGAATAACTAACGGCAAAGGAAACACATCGCGGACCTCTGTAAATTCCTTTTCAGTCCCCGAATATCGTCGCACGTTGTTCCAAAATTTCGATCACGATATATACATATATATCGCGCACCAGGACATACCGCGACGGAGCTTTTCTTCGTCTTTTCTCTCTATATCTTCTTGTTAAATGTCCTTACGATCTCGTAGGCGTTTAACTTTCTTGAAGAAATACTCCGCGGATGGATACCACGGTCGCATTTCGTCTCGTTACAGTGAAACTTGAGTTGTGAACGAAAAGACAGTGGAGCTTTCGTCGAGTCTCCACTGGAAAGCCCATGAGCGGCGCCGCGCACCAGGTCATTTTGAAAAGCGCAAGCGCTCTTTCATAGATCGCGCTTTTCTTATAAGCGACTCGATGGACTGATGGCAACCACTGACGTCATTGCAAAAAGGAAATTCATTCAGGAATGTTCGACGCCTCTGCGTCTGTAAGGCCAAGGACCTTTCCTTAAAAACTAGTAGCCATCTATAATCAAGCCTTTTGAAAAATACTTTCATATAAGCTGTAGATCGTGATTTTATTCGCTATGATATTTTAGGACTATTTTAAATTATTTCATAATATTTAGTATATAATAGTACTTCATTAACTTGTTACGGATTAGAATCTTTCTTAGCCAGTTGTTGAGAGAGGCATATATTTAAGAAATTTTGAACATCTCTCTTTTCTATTGAGTGTAAGTAAGATATGGATATGCCCATACCCAAACACATTTGTTGTATATTGTAATACTATATCTATTGTAAGGCCGACTGCACGAAGTTAGTTCCAAGAACTACTAAGATTTAGGGATAGTAGTGGTTTGTTAAGGAAGTACAATCGCGTCCTTATTAAAGTGGCACTACTGTAAATACAAATTCCTTTCTTAGATTTATTTTACATGAATTGTACTTATTACAGTTATATATTTGCCATAACCTTAATATTGATGAAATATGTGAATGTTATGAAATAAAATAAATTTCTTTTATGACAATTATGAAAATTAAATTAATGTTTATAAAGAGGTTATGATATTCTTTTAATATTATCTTAGTTGTAAGATTGTACATAGTGCCTGTTGACATAGTAAAATTATAATTGTGTATTTATAAATATGTCTTCGTGAATTATTGAATATATCTTTGAATTAATGATAAATTTGACTTTTTCATTGCCTTAAATATATATATAATAATTTAACTATATTACTATATTTGATATATCAATGCATGAGTAGATATTCAAAAATATTATCTCTGATTTAGAAATTCGTAATTATAGAATAAATATAAAACCGATTTATGATTGGTTAAAGAAACAAACAACGTACCAAACGGAGTTTGGGTTTAGAAAGAAGAACCAATCAAATAACGTGTTTTATATGATCATGTTGTCCGTGAATGTCTACCTTATTTTAACTTTCTGCCTCTAACCTGAGGGACTGCAAGTAAACAATAATCAACAAAGCAGTATTGTAAAAAATCTATATATTAATTGTCCTTGTCAGTCTAAATATATAGTTAAATTCACAATGGTATATTTTTGTCAATATTCAATTATTTTTTATAGTGTTTCTATGATTTATCTCAAAGTAAGATAACCTCAAATATAATCGAGATTTTCTTCTTAGGATGTGTTTCTAATGATCCGACGAAAAAATATGACCATATTTACCGATGCCAAGGATAATACCACAGTTCTTGAACTTAAAAAAATTATAGAAGGTGAGGAATTCATAATTTACATATATTTAACTTCAGGACAATCACATAATGACATTTCACAAGAGAAGGTTTAGTTACTCTTCTTTCTTCCGTTTATCCGTTTAAATTTTTATGAAATGTATGAACACCTGTCGATTTTGAATTAAAATAATTTAGGATCAAATAAAACTGCCTCATAGGTATATTGAAAATACCACCTGTGAATCAACAGCTGTTCAATAAGGACAATGTTCCAATGTCAGATAGTAAATTTTTATCTGATTATGGACTAACATCAGCAACTGCAAAACCACAATGTCCTGCATTAGTAGGATTAGCTGTGCGTCAAGAAAATGGTCAATTTGAAGCATTAGAGATGACACCATTTTCATTACCACCTGATTTACCAGATGTTATGAAATCTCAAGAAGCCAATGGACAAGAACAGTCACCTTGAAACATTGTGAAACAATTGATGATAAAGTGTTGAATTCAATACAATTTTATAATTGTCAAATATTTCCAAAAAGGCTAACAGCTTAAGCGAACATGATGTGAATATTAGGTACATACAACTTTATACAAATATTAAAAGTGTCCTGAGGCTTTTTAACTTTATTAAGTGAGATTACTATTAATTTTTGAGACTATTGTTAACTTTTTCGTTTTTGTTGTTTTCTTGTGAGCGATAATCAAGTATCTTATACTTGATTATTTGACTGAAAAAGATAATAAAAAGTAAAATTTATAATCCAGTACTCCATTCAAGTTTATTACAATCTTTTATAGGTACGAAAATATTTCAACACTTTGTTATTATTGCCAAGATAGACCAAATACCTCAGTCACATGTAATTTATGATTGTAGATTGTATTTTATCTTACAGTGTTTTAGAATATTTCCAGTCAAATCCACTCTTATTTGAATACATATTCTAGCTTATAAACTTCCATGAATTTTTTTATTAAGCTTGAAATACAGATGCCTCAAATTTTGTAAAATATATATAGCAATATTACTTATTACTTAAAGCGCAAAATTAAAAAATATTGATTGTAAAAACTTTGAAGATTAGGTTTGACAGTTACAGAATAGAAATTTGAAAATGTGATAAATTATAAATAGTGTACGTAATTTTAATGAATTGATTACATTTGATACATTACATCAAGTAAATAATCATTTTGGTATAAAATACAATACTTCTATCAATTATATTTTACTATACCATGATACCTTTTTAACTTTACTTACATATATTCGTTAATTTATTTATTTGAAGAATTGCATGTATATTTATTATATAGAATTATAAACTTAAAAAATTATATGCAGTTTATATGTAATGTATGGATACATTTAATGTATTCATAATATGAATGTTATATTATAACATTTAACATATAAAATGCTCCTAAATATATTGAAGTATCATCATTCAAAAATTACAATTTAATGCATTAAGTAGGTCTAAATTGCTTAAACTAAACTAACAATATTTTAAAAAAATTAAGGTGTCACTATAGTGCAATAAGTTAATTTAATTACTGTTTTGTATACATTCAAGCAGGATGTTATTAAACAATGTTTGATACTGTAGGCAGTTTTAAGAGAATTTGAATAACAAAATGTTAACATTTATAAATATACCCTACTACAATGGTAGCCCATATAAATCTACATATCTTGGAATTAAACATAATAAGTAATCAAGCATATAAACCAAGGCAGTTGATATCTACTTAAACATTTAACTTGCTATACATAAAACATATACATAACGTAACATAAACATGGAATCATAAAGTTTGTATGAAAGTATGCATGAATAGTTAAGCCAAGCAATTAACACATTCTACTTTAATAAACTGAATAAGGCACTATTTAATACATTTTTAATACACATATAATTTAAGTTTCCAAATACTGAACGTTTAAAATTTATAGTGCCTTTTATAAAACAATTAAACAATTTTTAACCATATAGGGATTAATGTAAAACGATAAACAACTATGTATTACTTCATAAAATCATCTTGATTTGTTATGTTCTTGCTCTCTTATTTCAATTATCATATACAAGTTTAAATATAAAATGTTAACAAATCTCATCTCTAGTGCATAAAATGTACAATGTACAATGTTTACTTATAATTAATTTGAATAAATTTACTAATATCGCTCAATAGTACTTATACTTTAGAATAGACTTTCATTATTGTATAAACTATACTCTTTTTTTTTTATATATTCACGTAATGTAGAATATGTAAACATTACTAATTATTTTTGTTTTTATTTAAGAACATTTCCATAATAAATTCTTTATAATATTCTTTTTTACTTGGTATATAATGACCACCTTCATGTGTTATATTTGTCTTATTTATAAACATTTCACTAACCTCCTCTGCCATTTCTATAAAAAAAGAGGATATGAAACAGTTGTTAATTTTATTAATCCACTAAAAAATATCTTTTACCTGTTGGTATAACTTGATCAGTCTTCCCATAAATATGTAAAGAAGGTATGCTTATTTTTCCATCATAATATATTCCATGAGGTATACATAATGATTTGAATCCAGATATAATAATTGCAAACTCAAACTTTATCTGCAACACTACAAAATAATTAACAATATTTAATTTATATCCCACTAAATTAATTATATTTAATTTAATCCCATTTTATAATTACTATATTTGTTTAAGTGTATATTTAGACTTACAATTCTTTTGTTGCATAAAACAAAGTAGAGTAGCAAATGCTGCACCTTGTGAAAAGCCTAAAATGCCATCAAAAGGACCAAATTTTTGAAATGCCTCTTTTATTACAACTATACTTTCTTCAAAACCTACAGCTAAATTGCTTGGAACAACTGCTTTAAATATGTGATCTTTCGTATTGAACCACCATCCATATGCTATAATATTGAAAATATTTATTTTCTAATTATAAATACATTAGTTATAAACGCATCACATTCAATATTTAATTTAATTCGTAAAATTCATAAAAAACAATACCATCTTCTTCTGTATCGATATTAAAGTTACTTCTCATTGGAACTTTATGTGGAGCTCTTAAAAATGTAAAATCAACCTCTTTTTTAAATCCTTTTCTTAAAGAGCCCAATTTTGTTTTAAAAATAACATCTGATTGAGCATATCCATGAATTGCAAGTATCTAAAATATATATAAATACATATATATAAATATATTATAAAGAATATTTTTATCTATATACATACATATATACATACTAATATTAATGATATTAATTTCTTACTCGCAACTTAGTTGTTGAATTATCCATAATGACATTAATAAATCATTTAATTAATATCAAATATGGGATATATATTTAATTATATATAGTTTTTATATATTTCTTATTAAGTTAAAAAGGTTATAAAACACGACTTTTTAAATGTTAATCGAAATGGTTAGAAACAATTTTATTTCATTCATAATAAAATAATTACAAATTAAAATGCTTTCCAAATAAATTTATTTGGTTGACTATAAGTGACTATTGACTCTGTAAAATTATAGAAAAGAATATAATATATAACGAAGTTAGACAACATTCAAACGCTTAAAAACTAGATTAAGTTCAATTTGAACTATACAATCTAGTTAACTGATCAGTTACTGGCTTACTGACTGGTTCTGGTTTACTGACCACTAGCGGTTCAACAGCAAACGCACGTCCGACCGGCTGCTCAGGCGCAGATTCTCCCTGGCGCCGGCTCTGTTTCGGTTTAGACTGTCGGGCGGGAGTATCTGTGCTTTTCGTATGCTCAGATAAAATTGGCCGCTTTTTGTTACTATAGGATAATTAAATTGAATAAAATCTTTTGTTTCCATAATATTAATACTAAATTATATTTATTTTATCTATTACAACGGTTTTTAGTTCAAATGTGAAATAGTTTAATATTTTTTTAAAGTATGATATCGTTCGAAACAGTCGCCTTTATGCAGTGGAACATTGCAAAATTTACAAACAAAACATGTTCTGCTTCTTTTTTTTTGAACTGCACAAACTCTGCATTGTCTTTGGGGTTTTAAACTTCGACCGCTTGTTACTATATTTATAAGTTTATGTTTTCCATAATTCGACAGTCTTCCGGGATGATCTAATCTGGGTGCTCTCCTTGTGGGTTCGGAATTAGGTAGATTGTCATCTTGCTCCGTACAATTAGTTTCACCATCTTCTATCCACGAAACTGCGACTTTGTGCAAGAAATTCTTGTACGTAATATTTTTTCCGTTTAGGATTGTGTATACTCTAAATGAATTAAAAAGTGCACAGTTGATAAAAAACATTACAACCCGTTTAGTCCATTTTTTTGTTTTTCTAAAAATGGAATAATATGCTAGATATTGGTCCGCGCGATCTACGCCCTTCATATATTTATTATAATCTATGATTGAATTAGGCTTTTGTATTGGGACGTCTGATCTTTTACTTTTACTTCTGGATTCCATTAATTGTGCAGAATGTATAGTTGAGATCATATTGACATTTCTTCTGCCATTATTCCATACTTCTAACAAAATTTGATGATTCCTACGAAATTCGTACTGACCTCTTGAAAGTTGTATTGTTTTCAGTGATCGAGGAAGACCTCTATTTTTTCGAATGGTTCCGCACACTCGCACTTTATTTTTCAAGAGAATTCTAGCCATTTTTACACTGTTATAGTAGTTATCCTGATAAATCTGGTGCCATATGTTCTTATACGGTTCAATAACCGCAGTGTCTTCTAATTTTTTGCCATCAGCAGCATACACATCAAAGTTACATACGTATCCTGTGACAGCTTCAGACAGTACTCTCACAAGTATTCCGTATTTTGTAATTTTTGCGGGATTATACGTTTTAATGGATAGCCTACCTCTCCACGGAATTATAGACTCATCCAAAGATAATTGTTGACAGGGTTTATATACATCGTTAAATTTTCGCCTAAAATAATCAATAACAGGCTGGATTTTAGCAAGCCTATGTGAATCGTGAGGAATGTTGTCATTGTTGCAAAAATGCCAGCTCTGCATTATTTGCACAAATCTGTTCCTGCTCATTACTTGTGAGAAAAATGGAGTTTCTATACTTGGATCAGTGGACCAATAGTCGTAAAGAACGTCCTTTTTTATTTGTCCCATTAGAACTATTAGCCCTAAAAACTTCTTCATTTCCGGTACCGTTATATCTGTCCATTTTTTCGCTTTTGATGGAATTTTATATTTTTCCATAACCTGATAATGATATCTGTTGGATTCCCTCACCAAGTGCTCGAAAAAGTCATCTCCAAAAAATAAATTGACATTGTCCGTCACACTTTCTGCGGAACTTGGCATAATTTTTAGGCCGGGGCTACCTTCGAAAGGTTCCAAAATTATTGCTTCGTCGTTCGTCGACCATATATCATCGTTATTTTCAACGTTATTTGCATTGTCTTCAACGTTATTTATCTCATCATCTTCTGAATCACTATATCTTGGTGGCAATACAGAACCTCGCTTCCGAATAATTGTATCACTGCCATCACTTTCGTCACCACTATTACTTCTTGAATAACTGTCAGGACAATCTGACAGATCATCTAAATAAAACTCTCCAATACCATTCTTTTCGTTCATCGCGAACGGTAAGTTTTTCGAATTGGTATAAAACTGTGGGAGCTTACAAAGCAACGCAACTGACGCAACTGAGCAAGGTACCTTAGTACTAAATAACAAATTACTGCTCATATAATGAGAAAGATTGTTTATCGCCATGGCAACCGATTAACTATAGGTAGGCTATAGGTTGGTAAGCTTCGACGACAAAAAGCCGATTAATAGGTTATCGGTCGGTAAGCGTCAGCGGCAAAAACCCGATTAATCGGCTATCGGTCGGTAAAATGTTAAAAAATAAGAATATATAAGAAAATAATATCAATTTTATCAAAAATGTAATTTATGAACATTTAATTAATTTATGAAATTGTTTCAAATTTTATGTTAAGATTGCCTTAAACTAAATTAAAACACGGAGTAAATTAAAAATGATTTATTGATATTAAAGAAATCATAAATAAAACATGAGAAGTCATAAAGGTGCCATATTTCTTTTAAATATGAATTTTAATAATAAACTTTTTAAATAGTTTTTTACTGAAAATAAAATGGATATTAAGTATTCATTTTCTTTAAAAATGATCCCATTCATGTCAAAGAAACAATATTATATATCTCTTATATCATTAAATAAAAGTATTATCTTTAAAAATAAGATAGGTACATAATTTACAATGATGTCCTTAATGAATTATTTAGATATGAATGTTTAAAGATCACTAAGATCTACAGCTTCAACTTGTGCACTAATATTTTCGTCATTTTGGCTATCTTCTTCAGTTTCTTCTTCAGTTGCTCTAGGAAAATCCAGCTTTGCCCATGACCCAAGTTCTGCTTTCTTTAATTTAATCTCTACTTTAGTAGGAAGCATATTGACACTGCTTTGTGTAATATCAACAATCTATAAGAATGAAATTTTACAGAAGTTAATATTTCGGAATTGTTTCAAAATATTATGTAAAGATTTTAAATACATACTCCTCTTAATTCTAAATCAAGATTATATCTAGAGTTTTCTTCTATGAAGAACAAATCTACAGTTAATCGTATAGGATTCAATTTAATAGATGATTGATCTGGTTGATATTTCTTAGCATAAACTGAAATTACAACAAATGTGCCTGTTTGATGCCAATCCATTCTGCATTTAGCCCTCTTACTATTATTATTCTGAAAAATAATAAATTATTTTTTACGTAGCAAAGTTATCACAATATTTAGATATAGTACTAAAATCTATACCATTGAAAGACATAAATAAAATATTTTCAAAATAAGAAGAAACATACTTTAGAAATCCATGTGTGCTTTCCTTGTGCACACCCTGGTTGTTCTAAAAATGTAGAGAAGTCTGTGGTTTTCTTTTGACAACAAGACCAATATTTCATTCCTTCGTGGAAGATAGGAACACCAGGATGATGATTACATACTTCATCATCAGAAGCAGGGCCATTGTATGTAGCCTTACATGAATTATTCTTGCAACTTTGTCCAATTTGAACTTTACTTTCACATATGTTTTGTGATATATTAGAAGTTAATCCTTTAATTTGTTCTAATAAAGCAGGTGACACATCTGGCATTAAATTGACTTGTGGGGTTTCAAAAGGAGGCCTTTCTAAAGCAGATCCATTGCTAAGAGGTTGAGCAATTACTTCAATTATTTCATTCCATTTTGATTTATCAACAACAGGCTTTTCTGGCTCTGCTGGTTTAATATTTGAATGATATGATTTTACACATCCCTTGATATTTAAAAATTCCGTAAAGTCTGTACATTTCTTATTACAACAAGACCAACCTTTATAGGCATCATGAAATACTGGATACCCAGAGTGGTAAATACAATCTCCTGAAAAGATGACAATAACAATAGTTGTAAAGCATTTTGCATGATAATATTTCTAACCTAACTATTAATAAGGAAAACAATTAACCTCTGAAACTATATTATATTTCCAAATTTTCTAATGTAGCTTAATATACCTTTAGTATAACATACCTTCCTTATTATCGTTCGGATCAAATTTTTTGCCACAGCCACGATTATAACAAGGCAATAAATTTTCTTCCTGCGACATTTTTAACTTTATCTTATTTTAACTTAGTTACACACGTTGTATAGGATCACAAATACGAGTACGTCAAGCGTATAAGTTACACCGAGTACACCGAGTAACTAGTACACACTGTAAACCTTTCTGTTTTTACAATTTCGAAAAACTTCTAGCATGTTCTAGAGAATCCCAACTTGTTTTTAAATAAATCATTTGTAGAAAAAATTAGAATCAATTGCAATCACACTATACAATACACATATTGCCATGAAAAATATAATAATAAGACAGATGGACTAACATTTATAACAATTATTATGCAGCTTTAGCAAATTAAAGAACAATTTTTGTCAAAAGATTACTTACATTGTTCAATATGAACCTCAATTTGTAGACAGTATTTCATCAATAAAAAATGTAATAAACATTCGAAATGTAATAAAATTGATTAATTAAATTTAAACATTGATTTTATTATCTTCTTCATGTGCATTGTATTACAGTCATTATTTATTTTTGTCAAATATGAAAGACATAATAAATTGACATTCAACTTACTTACACTACTTTATTGATAAATTCTCTTCATATAAAAAAGTGATATCTTTCTTATATTTGAAACTTTACATAGTTACAATTGATCACCACTGAGTGAATACATTTCGAAATCAAGCAACAATTCTATGTATTCTATATTTTAAGAAAAACTGTTTGGAGTGTGTATCGAGATTTGAGAACGTAACATAAATAATGCGACCAATGCAATCTAATGTATAACGATAAAAAAATGCCTTTACTATGAATCATAATCTTTAAAGTATTATTTTAAGTGACTATTATAATAAATAGAATTCAATAATATGTGACATTTTTAACAAATATGGAACTTCAAAATATATTTCTAATATATTACGTTTTATTTACTGTACAAAACACATGTAAGTTTTTTTATCACATATCAAAAATTATATATTTAATTTTATAATACATTAAATTATTATGTATCTTATTTTAAACTTATACAATTTAATATAATATCCAAATAGTAAAATACGCTTTTTCAGATGGTCTTCATAGAAATTTAAAGTATTATGAAACTCTTCATATATCCCAATTGCAACATAACATTGTAAAACGGGGTATTCAGCATAGTTACCATCCTTATAATAAAATAAACGAATTAGAGTTTTACTCCCATGGACGATACTTTCGATTAATTTTAACACCAAGAAGAGAAGTTATCCATTCCAAATTTAAAGCATATGAAGTAAATGGTAATGGAGAAGAGAAGACTATACATTTAGGTAAAATAGTATCAATATTTATAAATATATTTCTTAAGTTTCTAGAATAAGTTTCATAAATGATTAATAACTTATTTTATTTAAGATCATGAAAGCTTTTATCATGGACGAGTATTTGGTGAAATTGACTCTCATGCACAAATGCATATTGACAATGGTGTTCTTACAGGCAGCATTACAATTTCCGATGAAACATTTCACATTGAGGCATGTAGATTAACTACATGTAGATTAACATGTAGATTAACTTAAAGAATTAATCTTTAAGTGGTATATTTCAACATAGCTAATAGAATTTAAATTACAATTTATTTTTGTTATCTATTATAGCCATCTTGGAGACATCTTCCTCATTTAGGGAATGAAACAATGATTATTTATAAATCATCAGATGTTAAATTAAGTTGGGAACATTTTGAACATGGAGAAGGGCATACACATGGTGCTCCCAAAACTTGTGGATATGTAAAAGAGGAATTAGGTCAATTTATTGTCTTAAATGGGAATTATATTAGAGAGTATTATATATTTATATAAAATTTATATTGTAGACATTTCGGTAAATAATGAGGAAGAGAAAGGGGTAGAAGAAAAGTCTGATTCTAAATCACATGAACATTCCAGGGCAAAGAGACAGACAGAAACTTATGAATATACTCCAACAAAAACAAGATGTCCATTACTATTAGTTGCTGACTATCGTTTTTACCAAGAAATGGGTGCTAGCAGTACAAAAACTACAATTAATTATCTAGTAAATAGTTGCATTACTTAATACAAATATCAAATAATTTGTTTTAGATAATAATTTGTTTTTATATATGTTTTTAGATAAGTTTAATTGATAGAGTACATAAAATTTATAATGATACTTTATGGCAAGAAAGACAAGAACAAGATGGATTTAAAGGAATGGGCTTTGTCATTAAAAAGATTGTAGTTCATAGTGAACCAACTCGTGTAAGAGGTGGTGAGACACATTATAATATGGTTAGAGAAAAATGGGATGTTCGCACATTGCTTGAGGTAAAGCAATTCTTTATTTAAAATGTCATAATTTTAATTAATAATTGATTGGCTTATATAAATTGTACCTAGGTTTTTAGTCGAGAATATAGTCACAAAGATTTTTGTTTAGCTCATTTATTTACTGATCTTAAATTCGAAGGTGGTATATTAGGATTGGCATATGTAGGGTCACCTCGTAGAAACTCAGTAGGTGGAATTTGTACACCAGGTATATTAATGAATATTTTTTATCTATTTATAGACAAATCAATATAAACTTTAATGTTTCATTTTAAATGTTCCAGAATATTTCAAAAATGGTTACACATTATATCTCAATTCAGGTTTAAGTTCTAGTAGGAATCACTATGGACAAAGAGTTATCACAAGAGAAGCAGACTTAGTTACTGCACATGAATTTGGTCACAACTGGGGCTCTGAACATGATCCAGATATAACAGTAACTTTTTTAACTTATTTGTGATTTATCGAACAGTTTTAAAATAATTAGTCTAACAGAAATAGATTAATTCTCATACATTAAACAAATGATATTTTTAAATAGGAATGCAGTCCAAGTGCTAGTCAAGGAGGTTCATACTTAATGTATACGTATAGTGTTAGTGGATATGATGTGAATAACAAGGTACATCTAATTAATATAAAACCAGAATAATATGATGCTAAAAAAATATTTATCATTAATTATTTACGGGTTAGCGTTTTTCACCATGTAGTTTAAGATCTATTAGAAAAGTATTACAAGCAAAGTCAGGTCGCTGCTTTTCCGAGCCAGAAGAATCATTCTGTGGTAATTTACGGGTTGAAGGAGATGAAGAATGTGATGCAGGATTGCTTGGTACAGAAGATAATGATGCTTGTTGTGATAAAAATTGTAAACTTCGTAGAAGTCAAGGAGCAG